GAGGAGGTGGCCTAGAAGCTTCCTTTTCTGGGTAAAGGCGGGAAGTAGTGTTGATTCTTCAATATGTACTGATAGCCATGTGTTACTATGCACTTGTTCTTTGTATCTTCACATCTCGTCCTCTTGCATTTTAAAGCATTTTTATAATATGTAGTTTTGCCTAATAAAGCATTTTCATAGCAAAAAAAAAAAAAAAAAACTACATGGGTTGGGCACGGTGGCTCACACTGTAACCCCAGCAATTTAGGACGCCAAGGTGTGCGGATCACCTGAGGTCAGGAGTTCGAGACCAGTGTGGCCAACATGGTGAAATCCCGTCTCTACAAAAATTCAAAAATTAGCCTGGCGTGATGGCACACGTCTGTAGTCCCAGCTACTCAGGAGACTGAGGCAGGAGAATCACTTGAACCTGGGAGTCGGAGGTTGCAGTGAGCTGAGATCACACCACTGAACTCCAGCCTGGATGACAGAGCAAGACTCTGTCTCAAAACAAAAAAACTCCATGGATTTTCAGTTGAAAATAACTGGATGAGTATGAATTAAATGCTGGTCTTACTGGTAGATGCTGAGAATATAAACAGAAATGAGCTGAAGTCTCTGACCCTTGGAGGAGGTTAGTCTAGTCTCTACTTATAGAGGAATTAGATATGTTAACAACATGAGGGGTTACAGAATGTTGGAAATAGATGCTCGGTGCTGCAAAAAAAAAAAAAAAAAAAAAAAAAAAATTAGCACTGAGACAAAGGATCTTTCAGCAATGCAACTTTTACTTCCTGGACTGCAGGAAGGGTACTCCTGGTGGCCGTCGTGCCATGAGAGTACAAAGAACAAAGGGACACACGCAAATTTATTCCTTATGCGTTTGGGGTCGTCCTTACTGCTGTGTCTGATCTCCATTGGCTGGAGTCAGACCTCACAATCTAAACTAAAACCCAATTGGTTAACATCTTAAAACTTTTCTAAATGGGTAAAGCAATGGAGAGCTGGGACATGCCTGTGAGCAGGTCCAGCACAGATAATCTTGGTTAACGTACAAGAACATAGAGTTTACTACGGGCCTATAAGCACAGCATGTCTAACAGCTACATAGGACAGGGCTTAACAAAGCTATTAGCACACTTATGATTTAACAAGAAAGGAAACTTTGAAAAGGAACTTTTCTACTTCCCACAAGAAGCATGTACAGAGGAGAGCCTCTTTCCAAGGAGTTCAGAAAAGGTTTACAGGAGGGGTCATCTTTGACATGACTAAAAAAAAAAAATCCACAAGATGACAAGGGTGTGGTGTTCTAAGGGAGATCTTTTTTTCTGAAGAAACCAGTAAATTCCTTGCTCTACAAACTGCATGTAATTGGTATGGGCAGGGAGAGGGAGGGTCAAGATGGGATTGAGGTAGGTGCTATGCTGCCGCACCAAGATCGCCCCCAGGACTAAGGTGTTCATTCTTCTACTTTAACAGGAATATTGGTTCCTAGCCGCTCACAGCCAGGTCCCTCTCTAGGAACTTCTCAGCAAAAGGTTTTTGTATAAGAACACAAATACTTGAATAACTTTCAAGTATTTGAAGTAGTTTGGGGAAAATTTAAAAGACCAAAAAAGGTAGTGCTGGTGCAGCTTACAGTGGGATTGCAGGAAGTTAGTTTGGAAGCCAGGAGGCCGGTCAGACTAGAGAGATAAGAAATCTTAGGGCTGACATGAGAAAGTGGGAGGGGAGGAAAGGGATGAGACAAAGGAGGTAAAGGATAGACCTAAAGAGTTTCCTGACCTCATTCCACTGACAACTCAGGAGAGGGCGGAGGATGGGGATACAAGGAGCTAGATTTGCTTTGGATATGTTGAGTTTAATGAAGCAAAGTGTGCATAAAGAAAGCCAAATTTGTTATGCTACAACTGTGGGGTTATGAGCACCTTCAAAAAGAATGCTTAATCTTTTCAACACGTAATTTTAATTTTAAAGATGGGGTTTCACCATGTTGGTCAGGCTGGTCTTGAACTCCCGACCTCAGGTGATCCACCTGCCTTGGCCTCCAAAGTGCTTGGATTACAGGCGTGAGCCACCACGCTCGGCCTGGTAATTTTGTTTTTTGAGACGGAGTCTCGCTCAGCTGCCCAGACTGGAATGCAGTGGCTCGATCTCGGCTCACTGCAACGACCATCTGCCAGGTTTAAGCGATTCTCCCGTTTCAGTCTTCTGAGTAGCTGGGATTATAGGCATCTGCTATCATGTCCAGCTAATTTTTGTATTTTAGTAGAGATGAGGTTTCACCATGTTGGCCAGGCTGGTCTTGAACTCCTGACCACAGGTGCTGCCTGCCTTGGCCTCCCAAAATGCTAGGATTACAGGCTTCAGTCACTGCACCTGGCCTCAACAGTAATTTTTAAATAATTTTTTAAATTTTACATTGAGATTGTTTAAAAAATTATACATTGAAATATGAAGCTATCAAGACTGCATACAGATTTATATTGACATAATTTTTTTTATAACATTAAGGAGGAAAAGTAAGATAGGAAAATGGCCAGGCATGGTGGCTCACACCTGTATTCCCAGCACTTTGAGAGGCTGAGGCGGACGGATCACTTGAGGCCAGGAGTGGAGACCAGCCTGGCCAACAGAGCAAGACACCCCATCTCTACTAAAATACAAAAAAAGTAGCTGGGCATGTGGAGCATGCCTGTAATTCCAGTTATTTGGGAGGCTGAGGCACGAGAATCGCTTGAACCTGGGAGGCAGAGGTTGCAGTGAGCTGAGATCCATGCCACTGCACTCCAGCCTGGGAGACAGAGCGAGACCCCATCTCAACAACAACAACAACAAAAGACTCTGAATAAAACTAACTTAAAAACAAACACAGAGGTCGGATGCAGTGGCTCACACCTGTAATCCCAGCACTTGGGAGGCCGAGGCGGGTGAATTATCTGAGGTCATGAATTCCAGACCAGCCTGGCCAACGTGGTGAAACCCTGTCTCAAAAAAAAAAAAAGGAAAAAAATCCACTGCCAATCTGGAAAAAAAAAGTATTCCTGCAGATATGAGGCAGGCAAACAGCAAATGATCACCTTTGTCATTTTAAATAGTGGTACAATAGATACAGGAAATCAAAAGTACCCTGGTGATGGAATTGTGGGTGTGCTTTTGCTTATCTATTTCTATAATCTATGTGGACTGTTTAGTAGCAAATAGTAATATCTTAACAAAAACACATTCCTGCTGTTGCTCACCCATTCCACCCTGAGCCACCTACCATAAGTCTAGCCCATGCAGGGACTCTATTTGGTGAAGTAGAAGGTTGCTCCTTCAGGGCAGCCACAGACCTGTGGGGAGGCATGGAGAGTGGAGCTGAGAGTGTGCTGGGTTTCAGCCCTGGCCTGAAAATCGATCTTTAGGCAGTGCAAATTATATCACTGTATGTAGCTGCCCTGATTGCAGGAAAAGAATGGAGACCAAGGTTAAGGTAAGACCAGGTAGGGACAGAGATAGAGGCCAATGGCATATAGGCAATCAAAAAGACAAGGCTTCCATCCTAGTCAGCATAGCTCTATCCCCATCTCTAATGTAGCAGACACCTGTAGTACCAGCTACTTGGGAAGCTTAGGTGGGAGGATCACTTGAGTCCAGGAATTTGAGGCTGTAATTTAGAAGAGCTTCTTAAATGTTTGCTGTTGAAGGGCCAGTTTTTTGTTTTTTGGGTTTTTTTTGTTTCGAGAGGGAGTCTCACTCTGTCACCCAGGCTGGAGTGCAGTGGCACGATCTTGGCTCTCTGCGACCTCCACCTCCAGGTTCGAGCAATGCTCCTCCCTCAGCCTCCTGAGTAGCTGGGACTACAGGCGCATGCCACCACGCCTGGCTAATTTTTTATATTTTTAGTAGACACAGGGTTTCATTGTGTTAGCCAGGATGGTCTCGATCTCCTGATCTTGTGATTACCTGCCTTGGCCTCCCAAATGCTGGGATTACAGGCGTGAGCCACCGCGCTTGGCCGAAGGATCAGTTTTTATTTCCAATCTGCCACGGACTGATGCTTTTGTAAATGACAGTTAAAGTCAACTGCTATTCAAATGAATTTTTTAAATCAAAAATATCCCGTTTTGAAAATTAATATAGTCAAAATTGCCAAATATTTATAAAACTAAACATGTATTTTAATTTCTGTGCTTATCTCATTGCAAACTGATAGGATAGGGCTTAACAAAAGACGGCGAAACCCCATCTCTACTAAAAACACAAAAAAAGCTGGGCTTGGTTGTGCACACCTGTAATCCCAGCTACTCAGGAGACTGAGACAGGGTAATTTTTAGAAGTATGTATTAGACATAAAATATGTTTAAATGCATGTGCAATAAAGTATAATTCACAGTAGAACACAGTTTTGGTTTCTTAGGGCTGAAATGTAGATCATCCTGTTTGAAATCATGACTGTTACTACATAGGAGAAAGACTCCTCAAGAACATGGAAACCAACTGAAGCAGTTGATTCACAATTTCACCTTTCTTACAGTAGACACTTAGACCGATAAATCCCTAATCTAGTAACCAACTATTCTTTGCCCTGGCAAGAAATTTGATAAATTTCTGCTTACCAAAATATCCTACGTTGACATTGTGAATTCTTTCACAAATACTGCATTGTGAAATGGGAGTACATATTTGTGATGTGCTGTTTGACATGAGAAATCCTCAAGTGTTATCAGTAAACAAAAGGAAGCCTCCATTCCATTCAAAAGAATGAGTAATTCAGTGGACTAGAGACTTCAAAACTTCTTTGATTGTGGAGGTGGAGCCTCTATGTCGCCTAGGCTGGTATCCAACTCCTGGACCCCAGTGTCCTCTCGCTTTGGCCTCCCAAAGCTCTGAGGTTACAGGAGCGAGGCACTGCGCCTGGCCTTCTGTTTTTAAGTATTAGAGGCAGTTTATGAAGATAAGAGTTCCAGCTGTAAACGGTTTGTGTTAAAATTAAATTACTTCACAGTTTTTCTTTTCTTTTTTTTTTTTTTATCTATCCAAGACCCACCACTGAGATGTTTTTATTGAAATGCATGTTATGAGTAACACGAACTCCCTCTGGCCCAGGTGGGACCTTTTCCCTCATAGGTGGGTCAGGCCCAGTGGGACAGTCTTGTTGGTAAGAGGGAGCCAAGTAAGAGAAGGCCTCCAGGGCGTAGGAGATGGTATCAGGTGAGTCCGGGGAACTGATGGTTATGGCGCCTGCTGGAAGCCTGGTATGGTCTGGTTCTCCTCAGCTGTGGCTGCAGATTTCTCTTCATTGGCTGCCTCCTCTGAAAACAGACTCCTCTTTTCCGCAATTAATCTTTTAACTCCTACCATCCACTGACTGACCTCAGTCACATGGTCAACCATGAGTGAGCGGTGGATGTCATCTGCTGCATCCCACTGGTGGGTTGAAAGCTCTTGCACCAGTAGAGCCATTCTCTTCTTTACAGGTATTGACAACTTTCCTCCAGCCCACCGTTCCTGCAGCAGTGCCAGGCGTCGGCTGATGTCATCACATACCTGTTTCTTTGTGTGGCCACGGCAATCTTCCAATGCCTGTTCCAAAGGTCTCAGCACATCTTCCATCAGAGCCTCAGACTCAACTGGGAAACTTGTGGGCTCCACACCAGAGGCAGGACCACTCCCCACAGGTGGAGACGTGGGATTACTTGAAGGAGGTGGAGGCCCCATTGGGGGAGGCCCAGGAGAAGTCTCTGAGGCGGGGACTCTGGGGGATCCATCCTGGGGTGCAGCGACCCTCTTGGTGAGTAGCGTGCGCCTGGGTCCGCCGGCCTGGGTCTGCAGCCCGTATGAGAATTGCGGCGGGTCGTTCCAACCGCGCTCCTTGTTGCCCGGCTTCACGTACAGCTCCGCCATCTCCACTTCCCCACAGTTTTTCTTTTTAAAAAAATATTGGTGCACACTCACCTGGACTTCATATTTTTTCAATGTATCCTTGTGAAATATCTTACTTCAGTCAGCTCTGGTCCAGTTATCCATACGAGAATATTTGGGATTGTCTGGTCATACATGGGTAATAGAATGTCAAGCCCTGATTTTATAAGCTATCACGTCAAATTCATCTTTTTCTGTTTCCATGTAGTTGTCTGATTCACTTGTCCCCAATACACGTGATATTTGGCTCTACTCCAATTTTAGACGCTAAAAAAAATTAAATATGCTTGTGTTTAGGTGGAATGCAAGATTACAACTACATCAGGGCCCAGTGTTTTGAAATGGCGTTGGAGTGGCCACACTGTAAATATCCTCTTGAGGAGAAGCTTCCATCCTTTTGGAATAAAAGCCTCATTAATTGAATACGTGAAACAGGTGTAACTAGGTTTGTACAATTTTCTCGTTAATTCCCTGTTAAGACAAAATATAGCATCTGGCAAGACCTCCAGGTTGAGTCAACGCAAGCCTTTATTTATGCTCTGGAGTTACAGCCTCGTTTCCATGCCAGATCTGACAGTTAAGAATTCTCTCTGCATGAATGTCTGCAGTGTGAGAGAAATCCAGTGTCCACCCATTCGCAGAAAAGAAAGCAATGATGCGTGTTCTTTTAATATGAGGGTATAAAAATCACCAGCCAGGCGTGGTGGCGCACACCTGTAGTCGCATCTAGGGAGGCTGAGGGAGGAGAATCACTTGAACCCGGTAGATGGAGGTTGCAGTGAGCTGAGGTGGTCCCACTGCACACTAGCCTGGGTGATAGCATAAGACTCCATCTCAAAAACAAACAAAAATCCAGAGTCCCCCTCATTTTACATGTTGAATTATCTAGAAATCTAGCAAAAGATCAGGAAAACAGGATGCTACTCTGTTATATCACCTCCCATTTAGAAAAATACTGTTTGCTTGTTACTCACCATACAGTACCAAGGACCTAGAACGCTGGACATACCACTTCGCATTTTTTCCAGAACTGGAGTGGTGAACTAGCTCTATTACCTTCAACCCCTCCCACTTCTGAACTCTGCCAGATGTCCTGGTGCTAGGAATCTTGCCAGCCTGGTCCTTGTCACAGATGGACAGACTAAATGTGGCAGAGAATGGTAGCTCTCAAACGTGCAGCGGACTCACTGGGTCCCCAGGTGACAGCTGCAGTCTCTAGGCCTGAGGTCATCATCCACTTTCCCATTCCTAGCCCACCTCACCCATCGTGAAGCCTGGTCAGGATTGCCAGAGACTGGAGTGAGCAGGTGCTGATATTTCTGTGTTTGTATGCTAAAAGTAAACAAGAAACCTGCTGTGTGCCCACCTTTCGGGTCCCTCCATCTTTCTAGACAAAGGTTTTGTGAGCCAGGTCCCCTGGGTTTGCTCACAAGGCAGCGCCTCACCTAGTAGGTGGGATCCCATCCCAGGTGCACTGTGACTCAGGGGCCTGGGGCAAGTCATTCACCCGCAGAGCATCGGCATATTCTCTTCAGGATGACCTTGAGCAGGTGCAGCTCTCAGCACAGAGCGCTTGGCATCTGTGGGCAGTGCCCTCTAGGCGCCTGCTCCCTTGGTGGTGATAGATCAAGATCTTTCAAGGAACTGTGTTGGGAACATGTAGATGAGGAATTCCATTTGCTATGATGATGATTATTCAATGGCTTCCCGAGTCTGAGGAATGTAGGTCCTGCCCACGCAAGAGGTGGGTCTCTTGTGTGAGCTCCAAGTGTCCCTCCATCTCTGCCCTGCACAAGTAGCCAGGAGATCTGAGCAGGGCTTGTTTTCCAGCAGTCCTCCCACCCTTCCCTGGAGGCTTCTGCGATATCCAAAACTCCTTCCTGAGCACCTACTGTGTCCCAGGCATGGAGAGGCACCAGAGCTCCCCCAGAAATGGGCTGGTTTTAAGTTCTCATTTCCACAGTTTTCATTAGTAGACATATTTTTTTAGAATTAAAATTATTTTTGTATTTTTGGTATTCTAGGAAATTTGAAAATTCAAAAAGCATACAGCAGAAACCAATCACCATTCATCCATATTCCTACAATCAAAACAATTAATTCATGGCAATTTTACATTTCTTCTAGTTTTTTTTTCCCCCCTATTATCTACTTTAAAAAAAAAATTACATCTGGGGCCAGGCACGGTAGTTCATGCCTGCAATCCCAGCACTTTGGGAGGCAGGCAGATCACTTGAGGCCAGGAGTTTGAGATCAGCCCGGCCAACATGGTAAAACCCTATCTTTACTAAAAATACAAAAAACTTAGCTGGGCATGGTGGCACGTGCCTATGGTCCCAGCTACTCAGGAGGCTGAGACATGAGAATTGCTTGAAGGGCCTTCTCCATAATGTGCATTTTCCATAATTTTTTTTGCTCCCTTTTTATTGTCTAGCTCCGTCTACTAGAGCATGATGAATTACTCTCTACTAGAATGTAAGCTTCTGCTTGGTTTCTTCTTTTTTTTAATTTTTTAAAATGTTTTCTTTGTTTTTTCTTTTATTCTTTGTTTTTCCTTCTGCTTTGTTTCTATTTCCCAAGCCTGGAGGTCCAAGATAGCCCTAATAATTCCCACAAACTGTGCTGTGTTCACACCCTCTGTAGTCCCTTCCTACACTGATAGGCCAGTAGGTTGTTGCAGAAATGAGGGAGTATGATTCCAATGATAAGTCCTCTAGACCCAGTCAAGCCTTTAAATGATCTGGCCGACATCTCTGTATTTTCCATGCATTCTTTTTTCCCCATTATCTTTAATTTTTTCTTCCCTGAGAGCCATTATAGGTTTACAGCAAAACCGAACAGAAGGTACAGAGATTTCCCACACATTGCCTTCCCCACGCATGCAAAACCTCCTTCATTATACATCCTCCACCAGAGTGGCATGTTCGTTACAATTGATAAGCCCACATTGATACAGCGTTATCATCCAGAGTCTGTAGTTGACATTAGGGTTCATTCTTGCTGTTGCACATTGATGGGTTTGGACAAATGTATATTGTCATGTATCCACCATTATAGTATCATGCAGAGTACTTTCACTGCACAAAAATCGACTGTGCTCCATCTATTCGTCTTTCCCTCCTCCTCAGAAATATTTGTAAGACCAAAAACACAGGACAGGCATTATAACATTTCAACACAGTTAGATAAAATCTCAGCGGCCGGGTGCGGTGGCTCATACCTATAATCCTCACACTTTGGGAGGCTGAGGAAGGCGGATCACTTGAGGCCAGGAGCTGGAGACCAGCCTGGCCAACATGGCAAACCCTGTCTCTTCTAAAAATACAAAAATTAGCCAGACGTGGTGGCACATGTCTGTAATCCCAGCTATTTGGGAAGCTGAGGCAGGGGAATTGCTTGAATCTGGGAAGTGGAGGTTGCAGTGAGCTGAGATCATGCCACTGCACTGTAGCCTGAGTGACAAAGTGAGAGGCTGCCTCAAAAAAAAAAAAAAAAAAATCTTGGCTGGGCGCAGTGGCTCACGCCTGTAATCCAAGCACTTTGGAGGCCAAGGCATGCGGATCACCTGAGGTCAGGAGTTCAAGACCAGCCTGACCAACATGGTGAAAACCCGTCTTAAAAAAAAAAAAAAACAAACTCAACAACCGGGCGGGCTTGGATCAATCCATGGTTCTGATGATTATTAGCTGTGTTTCCTTAGGCAAGTCTCTTAAACTGACCAAACCTCATCTTCCTTGACAAACCTCATTATCCTTCTGCAAACAGGATAAAATGAATGAAGGATAAAATGAAATAAAATGAAGAGGTACTATTTACTGCATGTGCTTTAAACACTGTGAATATTAAATACAATAATTCAAGTATAGTGCTTAACAGAGTCGATGGCAGATTATAAGCACTTTATAAATATTAGTTAATACTGTCATTTTGCCAGGCACAGTAGCTCATGCCTGAAATCCCAGCACTTTGGGAGGCTGAGGCGGGTGGATCACCTGGGTTCAGGAGTTCGAGACCAGCCTGGCCAACATTGTGAAACTCCGTCTCTACCAAAAATACAAAAAATTAGCTGGGCGTGGTGGCAGGTGCCTGTAATCCCAGCTACTAGGGAGGCTTGAGGCAGGAGAATCACTTGAACCTGGGACGGGGAGGTTGCAGTGAGTGGAGATCATGCCATTGCCAGCCTGGGCAACAAGAATGAAATTCCATCTCAAAAAAAAAAAAAAAAAAAACCCAGAAAAACCAACTGTCATTTCCTTGTAGATTTAATTGCTTTTACTGATTTTGAGATTGAGTTTAAAAAAAAAAAAGAACTGCTAGGACTTTCAACATATCTTACTAACATGGCTCATTTCTAACAAACATTTTTTTTTAAGACAGGATAAAATAAATAAATAAATAAATAAAGAAGGTCTCACTCTGTAACTCAGACTGGAATGCACTGGCATGGTCATGGTTCACTTCAAGATTGAACTCCAGGGCTCAAGGGATCTTCCCGCCTCACTTTCCGAAAGTGCTGGGGTTCAGAAGTGAGCCCCACCTTGCCTGGCCCTTTGTGGTTTGGTTATTACTATTATTTTTTAAGACAGCCTTGCTCTGTTGCCCAGGCCAGAGTGTAGAGGCACAATCATGGCTCACTGCAACAGCAGCCTCCCAGACTCAATCAATCCTCCCTACTTCAGCCTCCTGCGTAGCTGGGACCACAGGCACGTGCCACCACACCACACCTGGCTAATTTTTATTTTTATTTTTTGGTAGAGACAGAGTCTTGCCATGTTGCCCAGGCTAGTCTCGATCTTCTGGGCTCAAGCAATCCTCCCACCTTGGCCTCTCAAAGTGCTGAGATTACAGGCAAGAGCCACTAAGCCCAGCCATCAACATAGAATTCTCTACCCAACAATAATATCTTTCAAAAATCTAAGGAAGTTAAAGGTTTTTTCAGACATATGGCATTATTAATAATTAGGGAAATACAAACTAAATCACAATGAGATATCACTACAAACCCATTAGAATGGCTACAATTTAAAAGATGGGAGTGTGGAATCAACTCAAATGTCCATCAACTAATGAGTGGATAAACAAAATACCCATTCAATTAAGTATTATTCAGGCTGGGTGCAGTGGCTCATGCCTGTAATCCTAGCACTTTGGGAGGCTAAGATGGGCAGATCACAAGGTCAGGAGTTTGAGGCCAGTCTGATCAACATGGTGAAACTCTGTCTCTACTAAAAATACAAAATTAGCCAGGTGTGGTGGTGCACACCTGTAACCCCAGCTACTCTGGAGGTTGAGGCAGGAAAATGGCTTGAACCTGGGAGGCACAGGTTTCAGTGAGCTGAGAGCATGCCATTGTACTCCAGCCTGGTGTTTTTTTTGAAACTCCATCTCAAATAATAATAATAATAATACAGAGAGCTCTTCTGTACCATTTACCCAGTTTCCCACAATAGTAACATCTTACAAAACTATAACCTGGATATTGCCCTTGATACTTTTTTTTTGAGACAGAGTCTTGCTTTGTCACCCAGGCTGGAGTGCAGTGGCACAATCTCAGCTCACTGCAACCTGTGCCTCCCAGGTTCAAGCCATTTTCCTGCCTCAGCCTCCTGAGTAGCTGGGATTACAGACACCCGCCACCACATCTGGCTAATTTTTTTTTTTTTTTTTTTTTGTATTTTTAATAGAGGCTAGCTTTCACCATGTTAGCCAGGATGGTCTTGAACTCCCCACCTCAAATTATCCACCCACTTCAGCCTCCCAAAGTGCTGAGATTACAGGCATGAGCCACCACCATGCCTGGCCCTTTGATTTTATACTCCTGAGCGTTTTAGTTCTATACAGTTTTATCACATGGATTCATGTATACCACTCGATTTGGCAGCTCATGCCTGTAATCCCTACACTTTGGAAGGCCAGGAGGATCACTTTCAGCCAGCGGTTTGAGACCAGCCTGGGCAACAGAGCAAGAATCCATATCTATTTAAAAAAAAAAAAAAAAAAAAAGGCAGGAGAAAATTTT